ATTGGATAGAGCGCAAAATTCTGCATCCAGCACAAGCAAAGAGAGGCACAGCACAGATGCATGCGCGAATCGGGATAGGAATTACATCTTATCCGAATTGGTCACATGGAGAAAAAAGCGGTTTTTTGCTGGTGGACCCTATTTTTTGCTCGAAGACCCCTGCCGAAGTTGTCCCCATTCGATAGAGAATTAAATTCTGCATCCAGCACAACCAAGTAGGGAACCAGCACAGACGTAAGGGCGAATTGGGACAGGAAATACGTGAATCTGGTGCTAACATTACCTACGTGGTATTTGCCATGTTTTGTGATGGATCGTTGAGAAGGTGTCTGTGAGGAATGCAAATTTTCACCGCTATACTTCAAGTCTTCTTCTAGGCTATGTACAACAGAAAATATAAACGGCTGATGTGTCATTATGGCATAGTGATTTTTTCGTCAAAGAAGACAAACAGATAAGAACAGGAAACAGAAAGGAAAGAAAGCTGTTTCTGGGTGATTTTTAACTACATACTGATAACATTTCCTAATTAAATGACGATCAGAATATAGTTCAAATATACTTTATATTTAGCATTATGTTTGATGAACATTTACTCTTAATATATCGATTGATCTCTACGCAGAAAATGAAATCGTGATTAGACTTCCGAGGAAATTCTTAATGAAAATATTTCGGAGTCCATTTTCTAACTTAAAAACATCAAATAGGCTTTTGATATATTTGTTTTTTTTCCGCAGAATAAAAGAAACACTTTTGCATAAGAAGATTATTAGTTGGTAAAAGTGAAAATGTTGAAAGAAATAATTTTTCGTTTACTTAAGAGTTAAATACGAATATTGCATGACGATTATTAATTTGTCAAATGAATATGATCAATATTGAATGTAAACAACAAGAAATGAAAGTTGATAAGGATCAAGGTCTTGTAGATTGATTAACTGTTCAAATATTATTTTCAAATTCATATCTTCGTCGATTAATTATTACTTTTTCTGGTCTTACGGAGGTAAGTTAAACATAACAATTATTCTTCTCTAAAATGTCATCTTTTTAGTTATTCTATGGAAATAGAACAATTGAAGAAAACTATTTTATTAAACAAACTGATATACAAAAATTAATTGATCTTGTTCAAGTCAATACTGTTTGATGACTTTATTTAAGAGCAAACTTTTTTTTCTATGAAAGAAAATTCAAACAAAATTATCAAGTAATTCGGAAGAATTAACTGCTGAATTATTACTTAATGTACTTCTTTGTATTTATTTATCTATGCTTGGACTTGGTTCTAATTATTCTGTCCAAGTTTACTAAAATAAAAAAAAGTCTTTTTCAAATATTTATATTTAATATGGGGGCCATCAATGTCATACAGTGAACGTCATAATATATAGAGATACGCATTGTTATATTTTTTTCTTTCTTTTCAAGGTCCAAGTTAGTTAGTGACTAGGTGAATGTAGGAGATAGAAATTAATTGAGTCATTTGTAGATCAATAGTAATAAGGACGCTGTCAACAAACAAGATTGATTCAGATATTGTCTTAGAAAATTTTTTCTTCATGCTAGTGTGGGATGTGGGTGGGGACGCCTTTTCTCTTCAAATTCACATCCCACACCCTTTCGCATTCATTTAGTCCGTCTATAAATTTTGTTTGTCGTTTTCACATCTGTAAACATATCATGGGTAGCTTATTGTACGACTAGTATTACTAATACATGTTTAATGTACTTAGTCAACATTCTATTCAAAGCTTCATGTGATCGTTCTAATGCGTCCTCACATGATACATGCAATACTGGTGCATAAAACATAAATGTTAGTATTGATTCAAGTATTATAACTGATCCAGTTCATTGTTTTACATTGTCAACACATAAATTAGAATTAATTCATCAATCGGTTACTTATAAAAAAAATGCTATGCAAGTAAAATAAGAAAAAAAAATTGAATTAACCATGAAAGTTCAACACCTTTGTTCAGCAATAGAAGGACACAAAACGAAAAGAAAAAATTGAAAAATAAAACTTCTCTGACCTATCATTTGCACTTATTTTATTTATAATTAAATACATGATTGTCATCGAATAACACTGTTGCATGTAATATGAAATGTGCTGGGTACTTGTTTAAATATTGATGCACAGAAATGAGAAAATAACATAAGTATGAATCTGTTCTGTATTGTCTGTTTATTATCAATTCCTATTCGAATACTTGGTACTATTAAAGAAACTATAGTTGAAAATCCATTTTATCTTCGTGCTCGTATGCATGATTCTCAAACGGCTAATGTTCAATTTGAAATAGCATTAAATATTAATCAGCGATCATGTCAAATGTATAAATTTACAATTCGTCATGATGATGATTTTTATTCAATGCCTGAACAAAATTTAACATTTTGGAGAAATTCACTTGAATTAAAATATTTATCTGTTGGTANTATTAAAGAAACTATAGTTGAAAATCCATTTTATCTTCGTGCTCGTATGCATGATTCTCAAACGGCTAATGTTCAATTTGAAATAGCATTAAATATTAATCAGCGATCATGTCAAATGTATAAATTTACAATTCGTCATGATGATGATTTTTATTCAATGCCTGAACAAAATTTAACATTTTGGAGAAATTCACTTGAATTAAAATATTTATCTGTTGGTAATTATAGAATATGTGCTATCATATGTTCAAAATATTCAAAACCATATCATTCATTATATTATATATTTAAGAAAGAGAATCCTTTAAAACCAATATCGGCTTGTGTTAATATTTATGCATATCGCTCACATTATCTGATTCTTACACTTTATTTACTGGTTTTTTTAGTTCTTGCTTTTTCACAAATTAGTTTTTCATTACGTAAACGAAGATTTGAAGCAAGAATGAAAGACAATTTGATTAAATTTGAAAATACTTCACAAAAATGGCATTCTATTTCAACATTATCGATCTCAAGTTAAAATAGACATTCATATAGTATTTATAGCATCACTATTATATTTATCTGTTAATGAACATGCACTATCACATTCAAGTAATTCTCATCTTGAAACGTCAAACGAACCTGAAAAATAGTTAACACCACCGAAAAAATTTGCATTGCTTTGAGATTCAGAAGTAAATCTATTCGAATTTTTTTCCATATACCAATCTTTTTGTGGTAGAATTTAGAAAAAAAAGCGAAAACATTAAAAAAGTCATAATTAAATGAAAATATGGTCATTTATGAATCTTTTCCATTTTATGTTTAATAAAAAGTACTAAACCAAAATATATGAAAGAATGAAAAGCAGATTTGTTTGGTTCCTCTACAATCGATTGTTCAGATACAATTATTGTAGTACAACGCCTAGTATATCTGGGATTTTAGGCAAATTTTTATATTTTTAATATCAATAGATTTGTGACTTCTTTTCAAATCTTGTAAATGCTTTTAATTCAACTTTTTTCTATGAAATGTAATTAATCACCAATCAAGAAGATTAAATTAATAAAACTTACTCAGTAGGATTTTAAGGGTGTGGCTGAGTTGAGCGGAAATTCTCACTCAAACTCACACCCACGCCGTTTTATAATAAAAAAGATATTTTTTTTTATCTTGAAGTTTAAAAAATTATCGGCTACATCGGGATTGTCGTGTTATGTCAATAATAAAATAAAAAATTGAATAGAAAAATTTCATGGGAGAGCAGATGAAAACAATATCAACTTCTAGCAGATATTCTTTTGAATTAAAACTACAATCACTCTATGTGAGGATCTATTTCTGATTTCACGAGTAATAACACAAACTCCATAATGTGAGAAATGTGTGTATAAGAAGGAGGTAGACTAACGACGCACATTAAGAAGGAAAAACTTCTTATGCAATAGCAGCACTGTTTGGTGAAATAACTCGTAACATCAAATAATGCCAATACAGGGTGAGATAGATGTAGCTATAGATATATGGGTATTGTTATTGACATATCCATCCATCAACACCCATGCCCTTGCGGTATTATACTTCGATATCTCATCAATGCAAATCAAACTGAAACGATAGAATTTGAGAAGCAGATTACAC